TGACCTCGAGCAATCCGCCCACCTGGGCCTCTCAGAGTGCTAGGATTACAGGCATGAGGCACCATGCCCGGCCTGTTTGTTTTGTTTTGTTTTGTTTTGTTTTGGAGACAGAGTCTTGCTCTGTTGCCCCAGGTAGAGTGCAATGGTGTCATCATAGCTCATTGCAAATCTCTAATTCCTGGGTTCAAAGCTATCCTCCTGCCTCAGCCTCCTGAGTAGCTGGGGCTACAGGAATGTACCACTATGCCTGGCTAACTTTTCTGTGTTTTATAGAGGCAGGGTCTTGCTCTTACTTAGGCTGGTTTTGAACTCCTGGCCTCAAGCAATCCTTCTGTCTCAGCCTCCCAGAGTGCTAGGATTACAGGTGTGAGCCACCACTTCTGGCCTTACTTTCTTGGTATTCTTTAATGTTTTTAATGTTGAAGAAGTATAGTTTATCTACTTTGTCTTGTGTTCCTTATATAAATGGTCTCAATTAAAAAGTCCAGGTGAGAGGCTAATGTAGTAACCTAGTAGTGAGATGATAGTAGTTTAGTCTATATTGGTAACAGTGAAAACAGAGACATTTGGACAGACTTGCAATATATTCTTATGGTAATAATGACAGTAATAGCAAACATCTTTGTATAGTGCTTAATACATGCTAAGCACTGTTCTGAGTGCTCTGTGTGTTAATTCATTAAACCTAACAACCTGATTAAGATTTGCATTATTTTTCCTTTTTTGCAAATGAAGAACGTCAAGGCACAGGATTGATAACTAACTTTCCCATGGTGTCATAGATAGTAAATGGTAGATATATTTACTATGATATACTGCCTCTAGGTAAAGCCTCTGATAATATGTAAGGCCTTATGCTTATACTACTATTTCTGTGTGTTTTCACAGTATTTTATAATAAAGTTTATAGACTATTTCACACTTCAAATTGATATTTTTGAATTTAATCTGATGTAAAATTGTGTGTACACATATGTATTTGTGTGATATATATAAATGGCTAGATATACTGTATGTCCATTTATGTATAAAGAGATGTCTGGAGGGATGTGTTCCAAGATTATGAGAAATACTTGTGTCTGGGTTGTGAGATTTATGTGTATGTGATTTCTTAAAAACTGAAGTATTTTTTATAATCATATGCTATTATTATATTGTATATAATATGCATATAGTTATATTCACTTTAAATACAAAACAAAACAAAATGTCTGCTTGTTATTGAATTTTTAAAAGTACCTTAATCTCGCTGGTCTCATGTTCTTAACTCATGTCTTTTATGGATTCTTATTATGGGAAGGTTTTCTGTATAGTTTTTCCTCTCTGTACTGTGGAGTTTTTTCTAAACTGTAGCAATACTACTTGCCGACTTCAGAATCTAACCCTGTTTTTGACTTTGACATTAGATTTCCAAGGCTTTTTCTATATTTAGGTATTTGACACTCTGACAAGTGTACAGTGACCAGTATCATGATGGTATGACATGAGTCAGCAAACTATGGTCCATGGGGCAAATTTGATTCTTTGGCTGTTTTTGTGGTATGTACCACCGATAAGAATGGTTTTTATCAATTAGTATTGTAATTTAATAACACTAGCTTGAACCTCAACTAAGCAAAATATTATCTCTGTAGAAAAGAATGCCATTCTTCTCATTAGTAGACCTCTATAACAAAAACATTATACTGAATTATTATTATATATTGAATTTTATCAATGAAATTTTTGTTGAAGTTTATTTTCTCTAATTATTTTAAGTACTTACATAATATTCTTGATTTTGTTTTATTTCCTGCAAGGCCTAAAATTTTATTATCTGGTCCTTTACAGGAAAAGTTTGCTGACCCCAGTTTTAAAAGAAACTTGCACTTGTCTCATGTCTATAGTCATTCCTACTTCAGTTTATAAGCGTTTTGAAATGTGACCACCCAGGAGCATATACAGTATATCTATTGCTATTCAGCTCTTCTTAGTTCCCAAGTTCAAAGTATTGAATAGTGTGTGTTTTTAAAAGAATAATTAAATATGCTTATTTTCTAAATTTCAGAGCAGGATTTTGGGTGATGAGTGGTACCTATATTTATTTAATTTTTTTTTTTTTTTTTTTTGAGACAGAGTCTCACTTTGTTGTCCAGGCTAGAGTGAGTGCCGTGGCGTCAGCCTAGCTCACAGCAACCTCAAACTCCTGGGCTCGAGCGATCCTTCTGCCTCAGCCTCCCGAGTAGCTGGGACTACAGGCATGAGCCACCATGCCGGCTAATTTTTTTTTTTAATATATATATCAGTTGGCCAATTAATTTCTTTCTATTTATAGTAGAGATGGGGTCTCGCTCTTGCTCAGGCTGGTTTTGAACTCCTGACCTTGAGCAATCCGTCCGCCTCGGCCTCCCAAGAGCTAGGATTACAGGCGTGAGCCACCGCGCCCGGCCCTTATTTAATTTTTGTTACCATAAATGCTTTATCTGTGTATGGTAAATATTATTTGCTATGGTATTTAATACAGTAGAATTAAGTTGGTGATAAAATTCCCATCTGGCTCTTCTTAATTATGATGAGAAAATGTTAACTAGAAATAACATTTCATAATTGAAGTCCAAAAATTATTGGAATGATGTTACCATTTTATTACTAGTTTGCCATTTATATATATTTTTGTTTTTAATAATCTATGAAAAACTGTTCAGCTAGTTCAATAATACCAACATTTATATCATTTTACATTTCGAAAGTAGACGACTTGTCATCTTCTGTAGTGTTACCTAAAGTATTAAACTTTGTCTAATTCTCTTGACAGCTAATATCTAAAGCCATCCTTGTCTGCTCATTTATGTATGCTGATGTTTCTTCAAGGTCAGAGAGCATAATCACTTCTCTAATAGCAGTTTTCTAAGTAAGCATTAGGTGGAATTCTTTCTTCCTGCCTTGATATACTGATTGTTAACACCACCTCATATCACAAGTATTCTTAAAATGAAAGAAGGAAACTCCTTTTCATTGACAGACCAGGAAGTGGTCTTCATTATAAGTGTTTTGGAAAAAGGTCTTAGATAACATAGTTCAGTTCCACTGTGGATGGGACATAAATTACTCAACGATAAGCCTAAAGATATTTTTATTTATATATTTGATTGTGGCATGAGAAAATGCATTTGATACTATGATACTAAATTCTTCTGGTACTCTATTTCTCTTTCTTGCTTCTGCTTTTTATACTTTTATTTGTCCTGTCCTTCCCTTCATTTTGGTTTTCTACTATTTATACTCTTTCTTTTAATAGGATCCTTAATCTATTCAGAAAAGTCAGTTAAGCTGAACTTCATTGTAGGCAAAGTACACAAGTTAAACACTGTGGAACAACTTTTTATCTGAAATAACTAGAATTGTTGGAAGTTAAATTTGTCAGTTTTTGGGATAGTCTTTAATTGTAAATATCAGTGGGTGATTTGAATATGTCACAGTAATGGAGATTGACAGGCATGTGGTGGAATTTTGGGTTTGTTCATGTATTGATAATGTTTGTCCAGCAGTAGTCTAGTAATGAAGTATTTTGTCTTGATACATAAGACTAACATTTCTTTTTTACTTAAAAGGTTTGAAGCTCCTTTAGAAACTTATACTTTTTTTTTTTGAGACAGAGTCTCGCTTTGTTGCCCAGGCTAGAGTGAGTGCCGTGGCGTCAGCCTAGCTCACAGCAACCTCAAACTCCTGGGCTCAAGCAATCCTTCTGCCTCAGCCTCCCAAGTAGCTGGGACTACAGGCATGCGCCACCATGCCCGGCTAATTTTTTCTATATATATTAGTTGGCCAATTAATTTCTTTCTATTTATAGTAGAGACGGGGTCTCGCTCTTGCTCAGGCTGGTTTTGAACTCTTGACCTCGAGCAATCCGCCCGCCTCGGCTTCCCAGAGTGCTAGGATTACAGGCGTGAGCCACCGTGCCCGGCCAGAAACTTATACTTTGATGGCTACATATAGCTTTTGTTTGTGATGCATTTCTGAATAATTTAGGCTTAGTTGAAGATATGATATATTGGAAAGTGCTTCTCTGACTGCTTGAGGAATTTTACTTAATTCATGTTATTATAATCAAAGCTAATATCCCTCATGTATACATACATGTACGTATATTTTTCATGTTAAATCCTCAAAAATATTCATATTTTACTATTCTTTATCTGAATTTTTTAAATCACTATTTGATAATTGTTTTATGTGGTGAAAAATTAATTTAGTCAATGTAGAAAACCTTTCTTAAATATTTGTGACCTGCGTTCCTTTTAGAAGCTATGCTTCAAAATGCTAAAACAATATCAAATTTTATTTGGCTTTCTTTTTAAAGTTTTTTGAAGAGAGTAAATTGAGGTATTTTTGCTCAATTGTCACCATTAGACTGATATCAAGATAAAAGTAGTAAATTCAATTTGCTAATTCAAAAATGCTAGAAATTCTTTTTTCAGTATATGATAAGTGTCATACAAATTAATGACTAACTTTCTCTAGGTCATGTCTGTGATCCACCACTTGTTTTTGTAAATAAAAATTTTTTGAACATAGCTACACTCATTCATTTACATATTTTCCATGGCTGCTTTGACAGGACAAGGGTAGAGTTGAGTAGTTGCAGCAGACAATAGATCTCATACATCCTGCAAAGCCATATGGTCTCTTATAGAAAAACTTTGCCAGCTACTACAGATATGGGAATTATTATTGGTTGTGTGGGAGTGGGGGCGTCAAGTGTTTTAAGACCTTCTCTCCTCTGTATCCCACCTCTCTTCTGGTTCTATATGCCCCGACCTTTGAAATAACTTTTTACCTAATGGAGTTTTGATCAGCATTCATTGTTATAATCATCTGTAGAATAACTTCTTTTGTTTATAACCTGCTCTTAGGTACATTTGGTAATGAGGTAGCCATTTATATTCATATTTGGTCATATGTGATACTTTTAGATTAATCCAAATAGTTTCAGCCATTTTTATATCTTATCTCATTTCTAGGTACAAGACATCTGCTTCAGCCATGACTGTCGCTGGGTTGTGGTCAGTACTCTCCGGGGTACTTCCCACGTTTTCCCCATCAACCCTTATGGTGGCCAGCCTTGTGTTCGTACACATATGTCACCACGAGTAGTGAATCGCATGAGCCGTTTCCAGAAAAGTGCTGGACTGGAAGAAATTGAACAGGAACTGACATCTAAGCAAGGAGGTCGCTGTAGCCCTGTTCCAGGTCTATCAAGCAGCCCTTCTGGCTCACCTCTGCATGGTAAAGCCATTTTTTTCTCTCTCCACTGCTCCTATCTATCCTCTTCCCCTTTGTTCCTAATTTTACATATCTGGGATAATAAAAATTGTTATAATCTGTGTATGTAAAGATAAGATCTTAGGCTCATATGAGATATTGTTATTTATTAAATCATTTAATGAATTGGAGCCAGTATAGTAATGGTGGTCATTACTGTGCTATTTTAACTGCCTAACTCTTTTAATATATAAGGGATATTTAATATTGTATTTATAGAATATGATGTTTGAGACTATATAACTTTAGAGAACTGAACCTCCTTTCTACATATCTCTTTTAGAACATTGCCTTTAAAGGGCCAGTACTATTGTTTGTTTATTAAGAAATATTTATTCATTGAAAGGAATAGTCTTGAGTCATGTATATTTTAGATAGAGCAGCATTTGAATTTTATTTTAAAATACATCTCTGTGCAATTTCTATCAGTATGTTACAGGAAAAACAAAGGTGTCCAATCCCAATCCCAATCAGTTAATGGAGCATTATCAGAATCATCCTTTTGTTCACCTTCTCCATAACATTAAACCATGATTCTGACTTTTATGGTAATCACTTCATTACTTTTTAAAAATAGTTTGACTCCTAAGAAAGTATCCATAAGCACTATTGTTTCTATTTTATATAAATGGAATTATAGAGTATGTATATATTTCAGTGTATTTGGCTGCTTTAACATTTGTGAGATTTATACATGTTGTTACAGGTAGCTTTAGTTCATTTACTTACATCGATCTGACTTAGTCCTTTGTACTTCTATTTATTTATCCTTTCTTCTATTGGTGATATATATTTGTGTGGTTTTTGGTTTCGAGTTAATATGTGTATTCATTTTTGAGTGGAAATTCTGGATCATAATGTATGTGAATCTTAATCTTGATAGATAACACCAGTGTGGTTGTACCATTTCATTCCCACCACAATGACAGAAAATATTGACATTACATTACTCCTTTTTGTTGACATTAGATTACTCCTTTTTCTAGAGCATTTGTCGATTCCCCTTGATGGATGACCATTTTAGGTTTTCCAGATTGGAGAATTTTATATATGGAGATTATGGCTACCACAGAAAGTAATCTTTATTTTTTTAATTGACCTGAAATTCACATAACATAAAAATTAACCATTTAAATGTGGCATTTAGTGGGTTCACTATGTTGTGCAACCACTGTCTCTATCTAATGTTTTTGAGTTTCGCCTATATTGTATTATATGTGAGTATTTCATTCCTTTTTATGGCTGAATTCCATTGTATAACACAATTCTTCCATTTTTGTACATTTGGCTTGTTTCTACCTTTTGGCTATTATGAATAGTGCTGTTATGAATATGTATGTATAGGTATTTATTTAGATACTTATTTATAATTCTTTTGGGTATGTGCCTATCCTTGTTTTAGCTTCTATACTGACCTTATTATACATTCTTTTGTAATATCTGACCAATTCCAGATATGTATGTTCTGTAGGAAGCTTTAAGGTAGGCTAGCAAAATATATAGGTAAATGGTATCCTGGGAAGAACTTCTGTAACTCTAAAAAGTAGGACCTCTATTTTTTCTTGAGATCATACTTTATGCTTTGGCTCTATTTTTTTTTTTTATCTTATATTTTTAAAGGGGATCAATTATTTTTTTATAAGAATAGTTTTGTGTCTTAACTAGTGACTCATGATATTTAAGGTTGAAAGGTTTTAGAATCAGTCCTAGATGAAAACAGTTATTTAAAAAAGTGTTTAGGATTTTTAAAAAAGAGTTTAGGAAGCTGTAAGATATTGATATTTTCAGCCATTTGCAAGACATTTCTTTTCAGACCTAATTAGTTATATTTTTGGTATAAAATTTTTTTTCTATATTTAAGTATGTAATATAAGTTCTTTGAGAACTTTTCTTTTTGTATTGAGTATTTTTTTAAATATAAATTTCATCAAAATGTTTTTGCAGAGAGCTTCAGTGTGCTCATGGACAGCTATGTTGGTAAAAGAAACCATGGATGTATTAGTAGATAAAAAGAATTTGTAATCCCTAAATCTATACATCTTCACAGGATATTCTTTTGAGCTGCTTTTCTCTTCCTTTTCTTCCTTTTTTATTAAGCAAATCACATAAGAGGTTTGGTACTAGGCTTTGGAATCATCTATAGAAAAAATTAAAGTCATCCCTGTGGTCATGTATCTTCTACTCCAAGGGAAAAGACAGATATTAAATGAACATGGAAAAATATCTTTCAGTATATTTTTCTTGAAAGTTACAAAATGCCAATCAGTGAACCTCAGTTTTGTTATTTGTAAAAGAACAGTGGTTAAACAATAATGCTAGACTTCTGAGTCAAAGTATACTGTTTTCTCAGCTTTATTGCTTTCATAATTTTGCAGAACCCTCAGAGAAGAGAATCCACACTGTTTGACAATACTGCTGTTCCTAAGATTCAAGAATTTCAGGAGGCATTTTCCTCCTGATAATACATATTAAAATTTTATTGTCAGAATTACACCATATTATTCTGTGTAGTTTTTCTCATTTTTGAAGCATAGAAATTAGAGTGATGGTCATTTTTCTTCATGTTCTTTTTGTACCTTACATGTCATAACAAAATGGGCATTGTTGTTGGTTAGTTCTAAAAATGATATATTTACAGTTTGTGTGGGTAAACAGTCTGATGCTGGTCATAAACAATGTAAACCGTTGGATAGGGAGGGATTCATGTTGAAAATGAATCATGTTTTGGTGTTATTACCGTTGTTTGTCTGTGCTCTTTTTAGCAAACTAAAGGAAACAGTTAAATAACAGTTGATATAGGGGTATTTCCTTTTTACTCTTTGGAGCCATTCCAGTTTAGTTTAGGATTATATTATCTATTTACCATTTTTTAAAACTTTCCAAAGGATGTTTATTAATTTGAAATATATTCTTTATAAATATCTCTTTCATTTCCTATCTTGTTGCCTGAACATCCACTTATTCTCGATTAAGAGTTATTATGATCCATGAACAAGATAGGAAAAAATTACTACTTTATATTCACTATCCTCAAACCAAAAGCATTGAATGTAGAAAACACATGACAATAAGAATAGCAGTGCTTGTGATGTTGTTACCAATAGAAACGTAATGTTTTGAAATCACGATATATGTGAAACATTTATCTTGAAGAGTCTTACATTCTTGAATAGACTTCAGAATATTGTTTTTACTCATCACTGCTTTGAAATTATATATGACTATATGATACTTGTTTTAATATGAATTATTACACATATTACTATGATACTTTTTTTAATATATTGATAACTGTATTTCAGTATAATTTATTTCAATTGTAATTACACATATATTATTCCATGCCTTTGTAAGTATTATTCTGAGAAAGAGCCTATAGGCTTCCCCAGACTATCCAAATAATCTGTGATGCAAAAATGATTAAGAGTCCCTGATCATCGTTTCTTCTGTTTCATTAACCTCTAACCATTTTTTATTATCATAGTGTCCTTTGTTAACCATAAATATTATCTGCCAATTTTCTGTGTAAAATCTTTGTGCTTAACCATAGTCCTAGAATGTTAGTCCTAGAATCTTATTTCTAGCTTCTTATCCTACGATACCTAGGTTTCTGTACCCTTTATGGAATATACCACAATTTTTGGCAAATTTCGTATTTGCATGCTTTTGTCTACTTGAAAATATTGTTACCCCTTTGAATGCCTACTAAATTAGCTAAATTTTCTATGCTTAAGCCTTCTTTCCATGTATCATGTGTGTCAACCTTGGTAGTGGTATCCTATACATACTTTTATCATAATATGGGAATTGTACGCATGTCTGTGTCTTCTGTTAGATTGACCTCCATGAAGACAAAGACTTTTTCTTATTTGTATTTGTATCTTAGCACCTTGCATGGTAGTAGGTAAAATGTAGATTCTAAGGCTTTAAACTAGAGGTTTGGTTTTTTCTTTGTTTGTTAATTTAAGACAGGATCTCCCTCTGTCACACAGGCTAGAGTGCATTGGTTTGATTGTAGCTCACGGCAACCTGAAACTCCTTCCCTCGGGTAATCTTCCTGCCTCAGCCTCGCCTCTCAAATAGCTGGTACTACAGGCATGTACCACCATGCCTGCCTAATTTTTTTTTTAATTTTATGTAAAAAAAAGGTCTCATTATGTTGCCCAGGCTGGTCTTGAACTCCTGGCCTCAAGGAGTTCAAGGACTTCTGCCTCAGCCTCCCAAAGTGCTGAGATTACAGGTGTGAACCCTTGAACCCTCAGCCTCCTAAAGTGCTGAGATTACAGGTGTGAACGCAGCCAAACCAGAGTTTTTAAAACACCTTTAAAAGTTGTTCTAAGAAAAACCATTTAGATTTTAATCATTACTTGCCAGAATGAAGAACTTTTTATTCACAGTAACATCTTTTTTAAAAACTTTAACATCTGTATGACACATTCATTTCATCAACAACTGTTAATCATTGCTCTGAGCTCTAGGAATAAAACAGTGAAAAAGAGAGAAAGATGTCCCTATTCTCATGGAGCTATGGAGAAAAAATATAGGAAAGAGGGATAATAAGAAATGCCTAGAAAAGATTGCAATTTGAACTTAGTGTGCTTCCTTTAGGTCTTACTGACATTTGAGCAAAGACTTAATGGAAATAAGGGAAAAAGCCATATATAACAGCCAATGTAAAATCCTGGGGTGGGAATGTGCCTGAATGTTTCAAGGAATGACAAGGAGCCCAGTGCCTTGCACAAAATGCCTCAGCTGCATTGCTATAGCCATCAGGATTTCTGGTACATTTTATGTCAAGTATGAAAGAAGAGATGAATCAGGGTGACTAGTAAGTTTTTTGCCCTGAACAGCTGGAAGGATGAATTACTGTCAACTGAAATGAAGAACTCTGTGGATAGGATTGTCTGGTGAATGAGTGACTATAAAAAGAGATGTCCTATGACTGAGCCCTGGAGCCCTTGAAT